ATGAAGCAAGTTTAATCTGCAATTTCCAACACAACAAATTGGACTCACCCAAATTTTAAACTGTAAAACTCTTTGTCAAGGAATGAGCAATCCACCACTTCCGTGACGCACGCAGATAACACACATGACTCCGTGAGCAGTGGATCATAGATTGCAGAAAGTCTGTGGCGCCCCCGTCATTTTTGTAGTCAGGAATTTTTTTTCTTCACTTGTATTGTCACAGATGTCATGCAAATTATCCTGAACAATTTTGTTATTGAATACTGAACATTGTGAAATATTCACTGTGGTTTTATGTTTGCAGTAAAGACCCTAGAACTCTTCAAACCAGAACATGTGAAAATGTACAAATTTGTGTGTACAATAAATAGTGTATATGCTAAGAGTATTGCATCATCACTTACATATTTTTTGAACCATCACATACATCATCATCACATACAAGATGACCAAAAAATGACATAAGTCAATGACATAAAGAGATATACAAGATAAGCAACAATACTCCAAGATAGAGCAATTATAGTAATCTGGCACAGTACTTGTGAAATCTAGCACACTGTAAGGTCTACACATTATAGCATCACTTACTTGTCTTATTTTAAACTGGTAGACAGATTGCTGAGGAACGGAGAGAGACAGCCATTTCCTATTGCGCATACTATCTATATCGGTTATTACACCATGTCGCTACATTATGTGGGTAATCAAAGTAAACATACAGTTCCCTTCGGGAGGTACAGCACCCTCATCATCATCAACATGGCTGCCGCGGATGCAAATTTTCCTCACTGCTGCAGCTGGTTCCCCGACCAATAGCAGCGTGGAGGTTTTGAAGCATGCTGGAAAATTGACCAATCGCGGCGTGGCCGTCTTTCGTGGCCGACCCACCATATTCCAGACATAGCCATACCTCCTTCGGGAGGTACAGCACCTTCATCATCATCAACATGGCTGCCGCGGACCAAGAAACCCACGCCAGCTCAGTCCGTCTTCGTTCCTACCAAGACGAGAGCTATCTGCACGGGTTTCTTGGAGTTTTGGGTGACTTACAGAAGGAAGGGGCACTACAGGATGTCGTCATTGAAGTCGAGGACCGGCGGTTTCCCTGCCATCGGCTTGTTCTGTCCGCGGCCAGCCACTACTTCAGAACCATGTTCACAAGCGACATGGCGGAACGTCGCCAGAACACGGTTGTTTTACAGGTAAAATGTAGGGTTGGCAGAACGTTTAAAGTGTTACAACAAGACCACAAAACACCTTGCTTCAAACAAGTGTCTTGATAAGATGTTTTTTGTCAAATGAATACTGGCTTTTTTTTTTATCAAACCTTGGTCAGACCAAGGACATTATAGAGGGTCTGCATGCCCTTTTTCGTTAACCGTTATGGGCTATTTTAATTTACCGTTAATCGTTGCCAGCTCGCTCTAATTCAACGTTAAGCGTTATCAGTATATTCCTCGTGAAGCGTTATGGGTCGTTTTAATTCTGAACGTAAAACGTTATTTGTCATCCTAAATTCAACGTTACGCGTTAATGAATAATTCTTCGTTACGCCTAATTTTGCCTTTCAAAGTGTAGGAAAATGCGTCATTGAAGGTTTAAAAATACAAAATTTCCCGGGGGAGAATGCCCCCGGACCCCCCTACATTGCTCGCGCCTTTGGCGCTCGACTCGCGCTTCTGCGCTCGGTCCCTTCGGCTCTAGCCAGAACCAGTTTTCCCTTCAATTTCCGGAAGTTTGCGGAGAGTTACAGAATTTTTTTTAACGAATCCGTCAACCTTGACAGGCAAATTAACAAAAATCTTGAGTAAAATATGAAAACATCAGAAGTACCGACAAACACTCTCAACACCATGATTTGCCTCTCAAAATGCGGGAAACTGCGTTTTTGAGGGCTTAAAAATCCTAAATTTCTCGGGGGAGCATTCCCCCGGACCCCCCTAGATTACGAGCGCCTTCGGCGCTCCCCTCTCAAAATCCATCGGTAAAACTGGGCAGACTGAAAAAATGCAAGCTGGCCGACGTCGACTCGGACACCCCTGTATTTGTGGAGGTACTCGGGGACCAGGGCAGGTGGGAAACAGAGGGAACACATACTTTTAATGTGTGCTTCATTACATGTAAGGTGTACGTAATTTTGTCAGTGATCACCTTTTCTCACAAAGCGAGATACCAATTCCAGTGCAGCTCGAAAAAAAAAGCCTATCAATTTACCGTTAAGCGTTATCGGCCCTGCTGAATTTACCGTTAAGCGTTATCGGCCCTGCTGAATTTACCGTTAACCGTTGCCAGGACCCCCCCATGCAGACCCTCATTATAATGTCCTTGGTCAGACCGTTTCTTTCCTAGAACGATCGCAGAGTGGAACTCGCTGTCACCAAGTACAATAGGGTGTATCACAAACATGATCTGCTCCCACATTTTCCACTGTACAAAAAAGCGAGAAGAAGTTGACCTGTCTGTATTAGCTCAGTGACTAGAACACTATGTATTAGCCTAGTATAGTACCCTAGAAAAAAGTTTTCAACCATACTGTAAATCGTACAAAACAGCTGCAAAATGAGCAAAAATATACCATGTTACAAAAAAATTAATAAAAACTATACCAATGTCGTAGAATGCCAAAATCAAAACGAAAAAGACGAAATTGTAAAGAAATGAACTTGAAGAACTAGATTATTCGCCAAACCATATCTGTGCCATTTGCTCATGACCATGTAGATTTCATAATGAAAAGAACTTTTTTTTTGCAAAACTTTTTTTTCATTCGCACGCGCGCATCAGTTTTGGGGCTCCCGGAGGATGTCATCCATATAATCAAATCAACATGGCCTTATGTATGTATGTCTAAGTCAAGTAGTGCATCTTTTGGGGATGGGGTTTTGTGCGCGTGAAAAATTTGCGCGCGCGTGAAAAATCTGCGCGTGAAAATATGCAAATTAGGTGATTCCCAGGGGGTCTTGGAAATTTTACATTTATTCGGGAATCTTAATTCTATCTTTATCTTCCACGCGCAAATTTTAACCTTTTTTGCGCGTGAAAACTTCACATTCGAACAAGTCCCTTGGGATTTGCACATCCATCCTTAATTTCCCATTTTCAATAGTAGTTTTCAAATGTTTAGTTTTCACGCGCAAAAAAGTTTGAAATTTGCGCGTGAAAGAATATGCTTGAGAAAAA